GAGTTTATTGTCACAAAGCACAATGAATACTGGTTCTGGTTCTGGTCCAGGGACACGGGTTCACCGGAGTCTGCGTGGGAAGACAGTTCAGTTAGCGAGGCACTTAGGGATTTGTCTTTATATAGTTTCTGGCTTGTACCTTGAGGGTCCACGATTAAGGCTTTGAGAGGAAGGTTGTTGGAACTGGAGAGAGTTTGGTTCGCAGAGTCCGACAGCTGCTTCAGCGTCTTACTTCTTTGGGTTTTAACAGAGCTAAGCTCAGGGTTTCCAGCTCTTGATCCAAGGCTGCATGGAAGTTCAAAGGCAGGCTTCAGGTTTGGCTCAGAGGGCAGGCTAGGCAGGTTAAGCTCTTCCAGAGCTTCACAGGAGAAAGACTGGTTTCCTGGAAAACAGAGACAGAGGTTAGAATCCAGCTTGGATTCAAAAGTCAACAAAAGTTCTCAGAAGGTTCTGGGCTTAGTGCTAACCAACTGGATCAACACTGCGGCGTTGAGGCAAGTTCTGAAGACAGCTTAAGTAGTGGATCCTCTGATGATGGAATGAGCTGCAGCTGTGAAGGAGGCTCAGCTCAGGAGGATCCACGGCGGACTCTGCTGGAGAAAGGTGGTACTTCTCCAGCTTCCAACACATACATGGAAACAGAGTTTTATGGGGCCCCCAGGAACTTGGGGCCCTAGGCAACTGCCTAGTATTGCCTAATGGTAAATCCCCCCCTGAGTTAGAGTGGCTCAGGTTATCCTGAGCTATCTCTATAGTTATGCTGCTATAGGCTTAGACTGCTGGAGGACATAGGGACCCCTTTTTCATCCTTCTGTTTCATTCTATCTATTCTCTCTCTTTGCAGTATTTGTTAGTTCAATCTCTGACGTTATGCTCTGCTTTTTATTATCATAGTAGCTTCATCTGGTCTGTTGCTGTTTGGCTGTGACTACATCCTGGAGAGAAATATCAGCTGTGCTAACCACTGGACTTTGTTTTCCACGTCTGAAGACGTTTCGCTCCCCAGTGTTGAGTTCCAAGCTAAATTGAGTAGCCCAACAAAGCCTTGTTTTAGCTTAGAAAACATTAAAATTGAATCTGAAGAACATATCCACCCCTTAGGAATGCTTGGGGAGTGGTTGCGATCTTTGTTAGCATGCAATACCTGATACTGATCTATGCTTCTGAAAGGGGAGTCATTAGGGGCATTGTTGGCCAGGCTGACTAGCCGATGTCTTAGTCCCCTGCATGGTTATCAGGATTATGATAGTGGGAAGGAATCAACTGTATCGCTGTGTTGAAGGTTTTTGAGAGCTGAAAGACTGAGTCCATGCCATTTGTTTAAGGTTGTTTTTTCTCTCTTTACATAAATGGCTTCTTTCATACCCCTTTCAAACCACCTGTCCTCTTTGTCAAAAATGTGAACATTCTGGTCTTCAAAAGGTCCCCCTACCTTTTTTGACTATGTAAAGAACCACACCATCAGCCGATCACGCTCTGATTCTTTTCATCCAATCAAAGCAGTGTTGATTATATGAAAAAAAGTGTTACAACTTGAAGCAATTATGTGGCAAGAACCCATAATCACCAAAGGGTAAAAGAAAGACAAATACAGACATTTGTATGAGGGACTTCATTATTATATGCTTTGTTTTGACTTTACTCTGTTTACGTGTTCTCTGTACTGTCGATCCTTAGATACAACATCGTCATTGACCAAGCCGACTGGT